GCGGGCGCGTGTGGTCTTACTGCTTGGCTCAGCTGGCCACTTTCTGCCTTCGGAGGTCTCAGGGAACTGCCGGGTCTTCACCCTAGCCAGACTCTGACCGTGCAGCACAGCGTCTATGGTAGCCGTGACCCCACCTGCCCTTGCCCCTTTCTGGCCTTAGAAACTCATTTGACTGGAAGTACCAGGGCATCCATGCCCACCCCTGCCCTGTACGCCCACTGCTGTTGAGTCAATTCCAACTCTTAGTAACTCTGCAGGACAGAGTAGAACTGCCCCAGAGAGTTTCCAAGGCTGTTCATCTTTATGGAGGCAGACAGCCTCGTTTTTCTCACGAGGAGTAGCTGGTAGATTTGAGCCACCAAACTGTGGGTTAGCAGCTGAGCTCTTTTTACTGTAGCTGTTGGAAAACTCACTTCCTTCCTGCTTTCAGGTCCCCAGTTAGCAGGAACCATATTCTCTCAACTGCTCACCCGAAGGTTGGTAGTTCAAGCCTGAGCTAAGAACACCCTGCGAGCAGTTCCACCTTACAGCACATGGTGACCACCAGGCGTCGGCATTGACTCGGTTACCACCCTTTGGCTCTTGTAGTTTTCCCTCCCTTAGGGAAGAGTGACTGAATCCTGTGTTCTACACGGGCCCTCAGCAATGCCTGGTGTGGGTGGCACACCCTCACTGGCTGCCTTCCCTCCTGTTTCACTACTGTTTCTCTCCCCTTCCTCCTCTCTAATAACCTCCTTGCCCACAAACCACCTCTGGTGGTCTCTTGGGAAAGCCCCGCAAAGGCAGGAGCTTACAGTGTTTGCTCTTTGGTTTCTCTCCTCCTCCGACCTGTCTCTGCAGTCCATTGTGAGATGCGTCCCTGGTGTTGGGATCTACTTCGGCACTCTCTACTCTCTGAAGCAGCACTTCCTGCCAGGCCATCCCCCCAGCGCCCTGGAGTCGGTCATCCTGGGGGTGGGCTCCCGTGCGGTCGCAGGGGTCTGCATGTCGCCCATTACTGTGATCAAGACACGCTATGAGGTGAGTCGCACCATGCAGGGCCTCGGCGTGGGTCAATGGAAAGATTGGGCTCTGGGAAGAACGGGGCCAAACTGACCCCAGTGTCAACTGATTCCCAGTCTAACGGAGCAGGCAGTGAGGTTTGAGCACCCACTGGTGTAGGTGGCTGAGTCTCGGGTGAACCTGCGCCCTGGCAACCCCACATCACCGGAAGCCGGTGTCAGCCGTTGGTTCTGTGCCGTTTGCAGAGTGGGCAGTATGCCTACGGGAGCATCTACGCTGCCCTGAAGAACATCTACCGCACAGAGGGCCACCGAGGGCTCTTCAGCGGACTGACGGCGACACTCCTTCGCGATGCGCCCTTCTCTGGGATCTACCTGATGTTTTACAACCAGACCAAAAGCACCGTGCCCCAAGGTATGAGCAAAGGGAGGTGTGGCCGGGAGCAGCCAAGGCATGGAGTCTCAGTGCTTCCTTTGGGATACGCCCTGCTGGGGGTGCTCAGCACCGCGGCAGTCTTAGCTGAGTCCCAGTGCTGAGCCCCGTCAGCATGGTGTCCCGCTGGGGTACCAGGGATTATTCTCTTCCCATGTGGCTTGTTCTTTTCCCCCTGAACTTTCTGAGAGCAACTTGTAGACATCATGCCCCTTCACCCTTGTGAGTCCGAAGCTGAGTTGTCGTCACAGGAGCGGGGTGCCTGCTCTTCTCCCCAGAGAGGCTGCCGCCCCTCACTGCCAGCCTGTGTTAGCAGCAGACTGAGCCGCTGTGGCCCGGGCTCCTTCTCAAGGCTCCTTTGTCTTGGAGCAGGCCCCTTGGTGTGCTCACTTCACTCGTGGTCCCTTGCGATGTGATTTTGTTCGATGTTGCCAGCCGGAGTGTTCCTAGGTGATGTTGTTAGAGCAGAACCAAAGTGACACCGGTTTAATCCTTATAAACCAAAACACCGAACTCACGGCCATCGAGACAATTCTGAGTCCTCTTGACCCTACAGAGCACTGTAACTCTCGACAGGTAGAACGCTTCCCTTTCTCCGGTGGAGCAGTTGGTGGTTTCAAACTGCTAACCTTGAGATTAGCAGCCTGACACATAAGCCACTACACCACCAGGGCTCCTGGATCCATGTGGGTGGTGTGAAGTCTGGGGGGTGACCCCTCTGTGTGAAAGTAGTGTCGTCCAGGTGTCTCCACTGAACACCGTGTGTGTCTGCAGGGAGACGGGAGCCTCAGTAACAATCCTGTCTCTTTCACCGTGGGGTCCCTGGATGGCCCAGACAGTGACACGCTGCACCGCTGACCAAAAGGTTGGTCCCATGGCATGCAGGCCGTCTGCCTGCAGGCCTCTACAAGGTCACGGCTTTGAGAGCCCAAGGGCACAGTTGTACTCTATACACACTGGTCCCGGTTCTTTACCACATACCCTTTAGCATCAGCCGATGGGTCTTGCCTGGGCTGTTTGTTAGAGTCATGACTATAGAAAGGTGATTTCTCATTCCATCTGCATAACTCTTGTACTGATCAGCTGTTGGAGCAGCACTGTGCTTGCGCCCAGCCCTCTGTGTGGGCGCTGCTCTCAGGAAGGAGGCTCTGATTGAACGCTGCCTCTGTCGTGTTTCAGAGCAGCTGGGTGCAGTCCTGGCTCCTGTCGTGAACTTCAGCTGTGGGCTGGTAGCCGGCGTCCTGGCCTCGCTGGTGACCCAGCCTGCAGACGTCATCAAGACTCACATGCAGCTTGCCCCGGTGAGATGTCGGTGGATTGGGCAAACAGTCACGCTCATTTTTAAAGTAAGTATGGTTCTTACTGGGGGAGAGGGTCTCCTTCTCCTTCGCCCTGGGAAGGTCGCCGGGTGAGCTGTGTGGCTGGTAGCTGCCACAGCGGGCTTGGCGCCTCTGCAGTGCACCAGCTATGTAGCTGTACCCACCAGCCTCGTCCAAAGATTTCCAGTTACCATGTGGATCTCCGAAGAGAGCAGGGCTAAAAAGATAAGCCTAGGAACTATGCAAAGACGGAAAAAAAATACACAGTTGGGCCTTCGGTGCAGGTCTAGACTGAGAATCCAAAACGGGGTATCCCCCGGCGCGCCACGGGGATCGTGAAGTGTGTTGCCGCGTTGTGTATAGTGTCCTGACGCTCTTTCTCCTCACAGGACTACGGGCTGCGTGGCTTCTTCCAAGGCGGGGTCCCCCGGGCTCTCCGCAGGACACTGATGGCAGCAATGGCGTGGACTGTCTACGAAGAGATGATGGCCAGGATGGGCCTCACGTCCTGACCAAAAGATGACTGGGGGCGGGGGCGGAGCCGGGGTGGGATCTGCTGCCGCCTCGGTTGCTGCTACAGGCCGCTCCGTGCTGTCCTGGGATCGGAGGACGTCCTCTGGGAGCCTGGCAGAAACAGCGTCTCAGTGAGCCCACGCAGATGGACCCTCGATGGGCGGGGCTCGAGCATCCAGAAATCTGAAGAGGAATCACCGGTGCAGACCTTTGGGGAGTGCGGAGAGGGGTCTGCACACACCCCAAGCCCATTCAGAAAGGCTTTCTCGCCAGAGAGCCCCCAGCAGTGGTCGACTTTGGCCCCTCATCTCCACCAGTGTCTCTGGCTACCCTCTGCTGTCCTCAGGGAGCCCCAGCTGGGGACACTGGGTTTGAGCAGAGGCATCACTGTCACCAGGCTGAAGGCTGTGCCTGAGGGCGGGTGTGACGGGTATTAGCGTGGGAAGAACAGAGGCCATCATGTAAGGTTTCAGCTTCCAGACACGCTGAGAACGGGCCCGTAGCGCCCTAGCCTGTAAGAGTTGTCCAAGTGCACGCTCTCCTCGCCTCTGGGCTGTCTGGAACTGAATGTCACATCAATAAAAGGAAGCACTTTACCAATGGGAGCTATTTGGAAATGCTGAGTAGTGTTGTCGCTCTGTTTGCAAACAATGAAACCATCCCATATTGGTGGCTGGGTTGTGACCTACGATAGGTCCCTGGAGCCCGCTCTTGTACCACTTCATCAGTGGTGTCCACTGAACGAAAACCTCAGCCATTGGGTCCGTTCCGACCCTTGGCCGCCCTGCGTGTGGCTCGGCGGTTTCTGGGCTTGCTCCTGACGGACGCACACTGCCAGGCCTTTCTCGCAGACTCCATTGACTCGGCTTGATCTGTCAGTGCCTAGGTTAGTAGTGGAATGCAAACTGTTCGTGCCACCCAGGGACCTCATACATCAGACAGTTGTTGACCCGTTTCAAGGACAAATCAAACTCAGTGCTTTTGTTTGTAACGTTGGGAAGTGGTACAACCAGCACCATGAATTGGTTGTAGGATATTTTCACTCCCCCATGTACAGTTCACCCGCGAACCTTCTCTCTGTGTCTAAGTTTGTCTGTTCTGGTACGTCTCTTAGATGGAGCCCTAGACTCTGTGCTTCCTGAATCTGGCTCCTTCACTTCGTCCAGCATGTCTGTTCTTTCTAGGGCCCACTGTCCCACTCTGCGTGTTAGGTGCTGCCGGCTAGTGACCTCTGTATGACAGCACGCAGGTCTGCCCGGGCGGGGGCCATCCTACCGTGGAAGTCCAGGGTGCCTTCAGTATTCTTAAGCAGCACGGTAACGCAAGTGCGTTGATTCTTCCGTCTTCCTTATCCAGTGTCCAACCTTCACGTGCACGTGAGGCCATTGAAAATCCCATGGCTTGGGTCAGGCCCACCTTAGTCTTCAGAGTAATGTCCGTGCTTGTCAACACTTTTAACAAGGTCTTGTGCAGCAGATTTACCCAATGTGGTTTGTCACCTGGTCTCTCTTTTTCCCATCATTTTATTGGGAGCGCTTACAGATATCATAACATTCCATAATTCAATTGCATCAAGCATAATTGTACAATTGCTGCCACCATCAGTTTCTAAACATTTTCTTCTTGAACTCTGGTCCCCTTTTCCCCCCATCCCGCACTCACCCCCAGGAAACCTTATTGTACAGTAGGACCCTGGACCTTGATGCTAATACGTTCTAGAAGGAGGGCCGAGATGCAATGCAGTTGAGTTCCAGATCAATTTTTCCCATAAGAAATAACTGAAAATGGATTAATCTGTTCTCAACCACCAAGTTTTTACCCTAACCTTGCCTTTTTATATAAAACATTACACAGAAATGTCAACGTGAATAAGTTCAGAGTTAAATAAGAAACAATATTCTGAAAGTTTTTAACAACTACGTCTGGCCCATACCCTGGGATTGCGGAGGCTCTGGATCTGTGGACAGGGTGTGGGGAGGAGGGTGGAGAGGGTCCTTGTGTGGAAGGGGATCCCCTTCCATGAAATCAACTGGCAGCTGCTTTTCAGGAGTCTTTTTCCTTTGCCTTTTTTTTCATGAGGACCTGGCTGGCTTTCTCTCAAATAAAATCTGTCTACTGTGGTCTGCTGTTGGCATTTCCCTGTTGTCTAACCGGGTTTACTAAGTTGTCAATTATCGAGAACACTGTGAACCAGTTCCTTATGATTCTGTACAAAAAAACTCGTAGGACCCGTGCTTTTCATCTAAAAACTGCAAAAAGTCACAAAAACAAGATTATAGCAAAATGCTTGGGACACAGCCGCAAAAGGTTTAAACAACGCATGCTAACAACACCAACTAACGCCAAGTGACTCAAACATGAACTGCTTTGTTTACAAAAATCATGTGTTGGGTAGAATTCCAATGTTTGATTTGAGGTCTGGGGCAAAATTTTCTTGACGTTTCGTGTCAAAATCTGATTATGTCTCGTACTGGTGACGTCTAGTACCAGGGTCCTACAGTGTGTGTGTGTGTGTGTGTGTGTGTGTGTGTGTGTGTGTGTTGCTGTATCTGACACCATCCAGTGTAGCCATTCACCTACAGTGTTAGCCTTTGCCCTCAAGTGGGGTTAGAGTCACCGTTGCTAGGGGTTCCCCCTATCATTTGATCTCTTGGCCCCTGCTGCCACAGCCTTGGCACCGTCCCTCTCTTCTCCATCAATCATGACGTGACCCCCTGGTGCAGGTGTGGGGATTTGGGTTTTCTTTACATTGGGTTCCAGTCCCCACTGTTTGCCCTTGGTCACAGCTAGAGGAATCTCTGGGGGCGTAGTCATAGTGGCTTACGGATCGGGCTGTCAGCCACACGGTTCATGGTCCAAGCGCGGCAGCTGCTCCGTGCGAGGGAGACATGGCTTTTTGCGCCTGTGACGATCTGCAGCCTGGGAAACCCACACGGGAAGCTCCGCTCCACCCTCCAGAGTTGTTAGGAGTGGAAGCAGCCCGGTGACGGCGAGTGAGGGCTGACCCGAAGGTTCCCACGTGCCGGGGTGCATTGACTACTAAGCTCGAGGGTGGAGGTGCTGCGGGAGAAAAGCCTGCTCGTCCGCTCTCACAGAGATTACAGCCGAGAACCGTGTGGAGCGGTTCCGATCGGAGTCTCCATAAGGTAGGGTGGACTTGACCACGGGCTAGTTGGTGTGTGGTGCTGGAGGCCAAGAAAATGGTTCTGCACATGTTCAGTTCCCTCACGGATACTTAAGCTCACGAGAAATGTACCCTGTGGGCTTTAGGTTACAGTCCCTTATTCAAAATGACAATGTGGGTAGGGATGTGAGAGAGGAGAAGGGAGGGTCCTAAAGTCTGACACACAAGCCATGGGTGTGTTCGGAAACCATTCGCAGGGATGCAGACACGCAGGACTAGGGAAGACTGGAACGTGGCTGGCTTGGCCAAGTGGGTGATGGATGGGGCAGCTGCCTCCTAAGGTTCACCTGGGTAGCAAGACTGTTGGTCTGTTGTCAGGGGCCCTTCCATCTGCTGAATCCTCTGAGCCTACACCAGTGAGGAGCAGCCAGGGGCCCCTGGGAGAGGAGGAACAGAGATGCTGCTGAAGGTGCATAGGCTTCCTCCTAATAGACATTTGTCCTCAACGCTGGCTGGTCAGTGCTGGCCACCAGCACCCCTTTAGAGGCTCTTGTTTCTTTTGGAGCAGATAATCTGGTGACGTTTTTTAGCAGGTCATCTAGTGTTCTCCGAGCACATGGGTGTTGGAAATTAAATGGTGCCCTTCCAAAGGGTGTCGCTGTCCTGGCCTGTCCACATGACGCTTTCCTTTTCATTCTGATAGTAAGAGCATCTACCCGTGTGGGGTGGGTCCTGAACCTCAAAGGGAAACATCGTGAGCGGTAAACAGCAGAAGAGAAGAGACAGGCACCCCAAGGGGAAGACAGGTGGAGGCGCATGGACAAGCAGAGAACATTAGAGACCCCTCGGAACAGGAGAGCCACAAACACTGTGGTGTGTGCGGGACAGCAGCGATAGGTGGCTGAGGGAGTTCCTGGTAGTGCTTATGGAAAGGTTGCTTCTGCCTTCAGAGGTGCCTCCAAAGAAAGACCCAGTGAACTACTTTGGACAAATCCGCCGTTGAAAACCCAAGGGGGAGCACTGCCACACGCCAGAACCCATAGCAGCGTTTTAGTAACCGAGACTAGACACTGAACTCAAGTCCAAACAGGAGTTGAACACGAGCCTCAACCTGCTTTGGAAACACTGCTCACAACCCTGGGCTGTTTTCAGTTGCTTGCTTGCTTGTACATGCTTACTGTTCGCCTCAGACTCCAAGCAGATCATCAGAGGCCGGGTTTCGTGGGAGGAAAGCCACCTGGCAACACGAGATAAAACCTGGTAGGTCCTGAGCCGAGGGAGGACCCTGAAGAAGAAGTGTTCAGGCTGAAGTGATCCTCGATTAAAAAAACCCTATGTTCTTAGTAAGCATGTCCAGCCACCACAATTGTAGTGTAGGCATCTCATGTCTTAACCTTGAGTGGTTTCTTCCCTTAGAGTCAGCCATGGGCTCACAGCCAAGAGCCCAGTGTTGACAGGCTAGTCATCAGGCACTGCCAAGGCCACTGGGGGACCTAGCTGTGTCTTCAAGCATGAGTGGTGCCAGCAGAGAGAAGGAACCAGCTCCCCCGCCCGTGTGCCCTTGGACAGCCCTGTGGCTGTTCAAACCGCAGAGGGTAGGGCTGCCACCTCTCCCTGGGCTGGCTCCAACACTGTGCCGGGAGCCAGAGAAAGAAGGAAAGTGGAGGCGGTATCTCTGTGGGGACACAACACGGATTTAGCTCTCCCACTGCAAGACTCGGCCTTCTGCAACCCACAGGCTCAGAATGGAAGCCTGACTGCAGTCTAGACGGTGCACTTCAATATCCGGAGGCGACATCTCTTCTAAGAGGCGGCAACATTGGCTGTTGGGGTGTTCTGCTTTATCTCTAAAGCACAGAGATACATCCAGCTCCAGCTCCCAACAGACATTAAGACGTGTGTGTGTGTGTGTGTGTGTGTGTTGGGGCAGGTGCTGTCACTGGCTTCCAAGTGGGTAAGGGTGGGGGTTGGCCATACTTCTGGTTATCAGAAAGGTCTGGGGAACTGGGAGAATTGTACCTTTCTGCTTGTTAGCTTCGGTGGTCCTGGGCCTGGAGAGCTAACTATCAAGTCACTGACCGCTGGTGTGCAAAAGTTCAGAATGGCAGCACTGTGTCAAGCCAGTGGAACATTCACCTGTTCCATCAGTCTCCTTGCCCCCACCACCTTTTTCCAGCTTTTTCTCCCCGTCAACCCACTTCTGTGTCCTTTTGTTGGGAGCTCTTGGTTCCTGGAATGTCATCTGCATCTGTCTTGATACCCCGTATCTTTGCTGTAAGGGGCCTGGGGAGTGTGTCTGTCTAGTGTGCCTTTTTATAAGACCTCCTGCAATTTGTGCAATTAGTCCCTGCATGCTATTGACCTAGCTTTCATTTCTTGCTGACTTTGGGTGGCCTGGAACATTCATCCCTACCTCATGAAGGTAAGTCCTTTTTGTACTTTAAATATCATGTGCACAAGGAACTTGTCCCTAACCCCTCATGCCAGGGCAGC